TTGGGGGCGGGGTGTGTGGCCTTATGACACACATCCGGTGATGTCAGGGGGTGTGGCATATGCTAATGAGTTATGCTAATGAGTTCCCCTAGCTCTTTTTCTACGAAACGACCCCTGGTTATATGTTACTGCTAGCACTTTGTGTATTGTTTTTAGATTTAATTTATTGTAATTTTACCTGAGAAATTGTTTATCTGTAGTAATGATGTGAGCTGCCCTGAGCCTACCGTGGCGGGGAGGGTGGGATAGAAGCCAAATAAATAAATAAATAAAACCCTCCACTCAGCCTGCATAGTGTGGTCTTTGGAGGGCTTCCTTCCAATCATGTAGTCCAGCTCATAGCCTCAGGTGCATATGGATTCTAGGGCAAACATGAGAGGTCAGATTCTTTTCTTCAGGTAGTATTATTCATTTATAGTTTACTTTTTTACTTCAGTGGTGTTTTATATCCTCTATCATATTCATTCTCTCAGCAACCATGTGAATGCAGTCACCCTTACTCCCAAAGCCTGAGGTAGGAATAGGGTTTCCAGGCCCTCCCTGGCCACCGGCAAGGGATGAAGTTGCCAGCTCCAGGTTGGGAGTCTCCTGGAGATTTTTTTTTGGGGGGTAGAGCCTGGGAAGGACAGGGTTTGGGAACGGGGAGGGACCATAATACTGTAGAGTCCACCTTCCAACGCAGCCATTTTCTCCAGGGGCATTGATCTCTGTTGTCTGGAGATCAGTTGTGATTCCAAGAGATCTCCAGGCCCCACCTGGAGGTTGACAAGCCTTGTTGCCAGGCCAGGCCAGGAACAACTCTTTGAGCTACCCTCTCTACTCTCTGGCAGTTCCTGGAGCTGCTCTCTTTCACTTCCGGGTTTTAACTGGAAGTGACGGAACAGTACACATGACACCACCATTTAAACATTATTTTCCTCCAGGCAACAGGACCTCGAATCCCTTGCCCCTACCAAGGGACTGGCAAGCCTGCGTTGCAGCTACACGTGAGCTGTGCTGCCACAGTGGCTGTGATCATTGTGTTAGGAAAACAATGCTCCTAGGATTCCAGGAACTTCTCAGACACGCTCATGATCGCTAGATTTCACACATGACAGGTCCAAGGAAGCAAAGGACGGCTTGCATGCAGGAAAATAATACTGTCCAGGACCAAATGAGCCCCTTGCATATTCTGAAGGCGCTTCCATGTACACGTGGAGGTGCTGCTCTGTTGGGTTCTCTGATCATCAGAAGCAATATTTTGGTTCAGACATGCTATGAGTCTGAAAAGACCCACCTGCACATGCAATCCTTGAATCAAACTCATTGTAAATTTTGAAGTAGCCTTCTTCTAGTGAATCAAGGATCTGAACCCATCAGTCTGAGATCGTCAACCCATTCTATGTATATGTAAGCCACCATAAACACTCCTTACTTCCAAGTAGCCACAATCTCAGGTCCTAAACAGTCAAGGATTTCTGAACACCTATGTGAACACAGGGTACTTTATTAAGGGGAGCATTATAGCTACGTTTACTGTTCTGTGCAGATTTCACTGTCAGTTATTAGCCTGGTGGGCTTCCTGAAGGAGAGACTAAAGCTCCCGTTGTAACAGCTCTGAGCATCTAATAGCTGTGGGTCCAATCCCAGGATTTCTATTAGCATAGCATTAAGCCTTCGTCCATCACAGCTACCGGCAACACTAGAAAGCTAAAATGCTTCCGTAAGGAGGCTTTCTCCTGCTTAATGTATAAGGATGCGGGTTGCATACCGATAACTTAGTTAAATACAATCGTTCCTACCGTCTAGCTCTGGGATTTTATTTTATTTTCTTTGGTTGGTATGGATCAGGTTTAATATTTAATGTCTGAGAAGCAGAGTGGAAAGCAGACAATGGTTAATAATGGAAGAGCGACTGCATTCCGAGAGTGCAGATTTTCTCCAGTGTTTTCTCCCACTCTGCAGGGGTGTACAGAGCCCCGCTGCCTTTTCAATCTTCCGCTGGGCTGGTGGCTTGTAATTGGAGAGCTCATGTAGAAAAACACAGAAACTGCTCCCATGCCCGGCTACCTGCCAACATCAAAATTCCTCTTTAATTACTGGAACTCACGGGACACTTGGCAACAGGGCTGCAGAGCCAGCTGTGAGCCGTCGTGACTGTGGCCAAAGCAGAGATGAAGAGATGACTCTTCTGAAATGGGTTAATCTGGGAGGATAGAAGAAGTGTTTGTGGAATATTTCAGCATTGCTTGTACCGAAGGAATATTGACAGGTTGAAGACACATGTAACATTTTAATAGCATATTACTTTCCTCAAGACTTTTTTTTTTTCATGTTCTGGGTCCTGCCTGGGGGAAATAAAGCAGATCTGCATGTTTCAGGCTGAATCTGGGACTTATTGTACCTCTGAAATGGAATGGAATCCTCATAGCGCTATTACTAGGGTGGGGATCTATTGGTCAGCACCTGTGACTTTGCAAACTCACTCACCCCCAAAGCAGTTAGGTACTTCTTTTTGAAATATTCTTCTTTTGCTTTGTTGGATGTAAGGTGAAGGATGAATATGGCGACTTATAGTGACCCCACAGGGTTTTCAAGGCAAGAGGTGTTCAGAGGTGGTTTGCCATTGCCTGCCTCTGCGTAGCAACCAACCGTAGACTTCCTTCCTTGGTGGTCTCCCATTCACGTACTAACCAGAGCTGATCCTGCTTAGTTTCCGAGATTTGATGAGAGCAGGCTAGTCTGGGCCATCCAGCTCAGGGCAAAGGATGAGTATATGAACGTGTAAATGCCTATGCTTCTCTTAATTTAAAAAAATCTGATAGAGCTACTTATTTACCCCCTGCAGAATTACCACACAGGTAGAGTGCCTTATTCGTCTTGAACATCTAGTAACCATTTTGAAGGGAGAAAACTGGTTTTTATTACTACTACAGAGTTGACCCTTCTGCAGCAGGGCTTCTACTCCATTTCATTACATTTGGCTGGTTGTCCATATTTCAAGGCTGGATTGGGAAGGCAGAGACCAAAAGAGGTTAGAGTAAAACACTTTGACATCCCATCAAAGTGTAGCATCAGTCCTCACCCTGTGGGTGTACGGTTAAGACCCTGGCCTTTTGGTACTCTCGGCAGACAAGGAAAGTGTGTATTCAGTGTGTGTGCTTAATCTTTGTGAATGTTTGTGAGTACAGAACCAGCAGGGGTCAGTCACTCAAGACTGACTGCTCTGTGTTTGGAGTAAAAGAGTGTGATAGTGGGTGTGTATTCTGGAAATACACACAGGGAAGGAAAAGGCTAGATTTCTGTAGCGTGCACAACAAAATCCCGTTTAATAGCTTCAAATTGTGCCTGCGTGTAGTTTTGCAGATATGAAATGTTACCCACACTTCTCCTAGCAGCAATTCTGGACCTGGTGCAACAAAATCTGCCCTAATTTGTAATAATCATTACAGATCTGTGTACTGTGCATTTGTAAACTGTACATAGGGCTGCCAACTCTGGGCTGGGAAATTCTTGGTGATTTAAAGGTGGAGTCTGGGGTGGGCAGGCTTTCAAAAGGGGAAGAACCTCATCAGAGTATAATGCCGTACAGTCCACCTGCCAAAGCAGTCCTTTTCTCCAGGGAAATTGATCTCTGTCGTCTGGAGATCACTTGTAATTCTGGGAGAACTCCAGGCCCCACCTGGAGATTGGCCAGCCCCATAGCTAGGGGTTTTGGGGGGAGGGGGCCTTGAGAGAGCCCACCAGCTAATTAAATCAAAGGCTCTAGGGCAGGGGGGGTTATGCCCGGTGGCTGCAGCTTCCCCCCCCCCGCAAGGGCAGGCCTTCCCTGGAACATCTGGCTCCCTCCCTCCCCAAGAAGCTCCACTGCCCCTTCCCACGGCACGGCGCCAGGGGTAGCCTGACTTCCACCCTCAGCTCCCTCCCAGGGCTGGGAGAGGTAAGGCATGGGGCGGCTGGGCTGGCCATGGAGGTGCTGTGTGCGGGCTCAGCACGCTGGAGCACAGCTGGGTCAGAGGAGGTGCCTGCCTGCCTCCTTGCCTTGCCTGGGCTTTACCATTCATGCTTGCTGCCTGGGTGGCTCTCTCAGTGCCGTCAGCACTTGTGCCACTGCCTCTGAAATCACTGCCCTGATCCTCCCCATGGACAGGCTGACAGGCAATCAGGGGGAGGGGGCCGGGGGGGAGGGAGACCCGAAGCTCGGGGAGCAGGACCCATAAAAACCACTAGGGGGCTGGGTCCTGTGGTAGCTACGGGCCTGAGGTTGGCAGTCCTAATAATTGTACACAAAGAAGGGGGGGGAATATGCTGGGGGAAGAGGATAAGAGAAAGATAAGGGGGAACATCATAATTAATTACTCCAGCAAGTGTTTATGTGGTATATTAATAAAAGTCAGTTGTCCTGAGTTTTTCTTCCACTGAACTCAGTTTTATCCGCTGCAACGTTTTGTACATACCTACAGTTATCATTCTGGCTGTCATTAATACTTTACCAGACTATCATTTAGTGTCCATTTAGTTTAGGCTTCTAATGAGAATCTATTAACTGAATGGAAAGAATAATTGAATCTTTCCCCATTGTGGCTCCTCCGTACAAAACAGAAGCAATCACAACATTCAAATTAGTGCCTTAAGAATTACAGTTCCATATGTATCAGATCTGATACACTGGTTTTGAATTACTTGAGAGAGCGGGTGTACTACATTCTCGATACTTCGCCTGGTTTTTATTGGCATTCCATACAACCTTTGCAAGGCATAACTAAACTACTGCATCCATTGTCTACCAGAGAACTCAGTGGCCGGCTTCTCTCTCCTGGTTCTTTCAGCAGAACCTGTCAGCACAGAATCTGTGCTAAACTCCTCTTCCTCCCCCTATAACACTTGACTGTAACATCCTAAGTGAAAACTTGCTCTGATGTCTTCACATCTGGACATTTCCCTCTATCTTTTGCACATTATTGGCGGCTGCCCGGGGGCTGGGAGGGAATGCCATAACACGATGCCCCCATCATGCATTTCTTTGACTGCACAGTACAAGGGAGAGGAAGAGAAACTCAAAACAAGGTAGGCATTTTCAGTGATAACCACATCGATCAGTCTGTGATGAACCATATATGAACCTTTGCGGTGAAGTTCCCTAAAGCTTGTTACTACCTTCCTGAATGTCAACCCAAGCCAAGAAAATCTGCAGAATAGCCTATGCATGTGATGGGTGATGAATGATTTACATGTTTTATATTGTAAAGACAGACCCCACTCATTATTTGCAGATGTTGAGCATATATATTACTGGAAGAGTTTATTGTGTATGGATTTGTACCAGTACCAAGGCTCTGGTTTTCTTCAAGGAAAGGCAAAGGCAGGAGGGGAACAAGATGAAAGTGGTCCAAAAACAGCATGGAGAGGCAAGAACAAGGAGTGGAGGGATCATGGCTCAGTGGTGGAGCATCAGCTTGGCATGCAGAAGGTCCCAGGTTCAATCCTTGGCATCTCTAGTTAAAAGGACCAGGCAGTAGATGATTTATTTATTTATTTAATTTATTTTATCCTTCCATTTGTATACCGCTCACCCCCTGAGGGCTCTGAGCAGTTCACATATTTAAACAGTACAAGTCCTAACCTAAGGCCACATACAAGGGAGGGGGGGTGACTAACCTACCAGGCCACCCTTTATAGCGAGTTGTTTTTCTGTTGTCTGCGGGCGACGTCCTCCTGGCGCTGGTCTTGATTTACGACTTCCTGGCTGTTGCGACACCTTCGAGTCTGGGCCGAGCGCACGTCCG